CTCTAGGCAGCAGCAGCCAGCCCTCTCCTCTCGGCCAGCATCCCATTTCCAAGGAGACTAAATGACAGCTTCCTTGTGCTTTGTTGAAGAATAGTTTGAAGGAAAAAATCAGGATAATGGCATGAAGAAAGTGGACAATTTGGGAAACATTTTGGAAGTAAAATGGACAGAACTTAGTTATGAATTTCATCAAGGCAGATGAGAAATGAGGATCAGTCTCAGATCACTGCAGGCCTCCCTCACACTAGGAAGGCACTCTGCCACTCATGTGCACCCCAGCACTCAGAAGCCTTGCGTTAATCTGTATACTTGAAGCATAGTTTTCTTTGTGATATGTGTTTTAAAATCCTAATGTGTGTTGTTGAGCCATAAGGTTATGGTAGAGCTGAAAGCATCAGATAGAGCCATCAGAGCCATAAATAAAATTACACAACTGTTCCTTCATTATTTTCCTGTGCAGTACCTTCATGAAAATGGGATTGTCCATCGTGACCTCAAACCAGAGAATCTTCTCTATGCGACTCCAGCCCCAGATGCACCTCTCAAAATTGGTAAGAAAGTTTCCTAGTCTTTCAGGACTCATTTTTGCAGAGCAGAAGCCATTTGCTCTCTGGAATTTTATATTTTGTTTTGTCCAGTATTGCCTCAGTCCAGTTTCCTCGAATTCTTGGCATCGTTTGTTAGTTTGTGCCCTTTTCTGAACTGTTCATCTGATATCGTGTTCTAGAATTCCCTAGCCCATTGCTGGACACTCAAAGGAGCCCCAGTCCTGGTGCTGAGAAATGATGAGAACCTCAAATGATAACCTTGTGTTTTGTAAGTGAGTTTATAGTGAAAAGGTGACTTGTGTTTTGGCTCTTAGCTTTGAATTGACAAATTATTTGGAGCTTACTCTTACACAATGAAGAACTTTAATACAAAATACTTGGTACAAATTAGTGAATGTAGACTCTGAATCTCTTGTTTATATTAGCAAAGAAAACTCAAAGACCCCATCTCTAAATTGTTTTCTGCAGGATGCTGTTGCCAAATCAGTTAAAACTCCCTTTTATGTATGTGTGTTTGTAGAGGACATAGTTTTAAAAAGGGTCTGTGATTGGTCAAATAAATTAGAAAATGCCAAATGAAATAATATTTTAAGTTATGCATTGCCTTATAGTACCTTAAAATGCTAATGTGTAGACCAACGTATCATGAGTGATTCTACAAGACTTTCTCAAACTGTTGACTCTAGAAATCCACCCCATATTACATCCAGAAAAATGATAAAGATGAACTTTGGGCAGTTCTCATCTACCCATTGAAATCAGTCCATTATGAGAAAATACATATTACGTCCCATGTACTTGATAAGGCAAATTTTGATTTCCAAAGGCACTTGTGATTTGTTAAGAGATGAAGTCTCCTTAGCAGATCTGTGTAAAAGCCACTGAAGGTTGTTGGGCTTCTCTAGGCTCTCCTTTGGAGTTAAGCTGATGTGTCTACTGCATTTGTGAGTGTTAACACCTCTGAAAGTTAAGTTGTTCTACCAGGGAGGAGTTCAGCCCACAGAGTATGAGAACCTAAAGAAACATTCTGAAAACCCCGCTGGGCAGCCAGCTCACTGTTAATCACTCCTGAAAGATGGTGGGCAGCAGGGAGTCTCCATTTCCTTTAACGTCACTTTCAAAGATTTGATCCTTGAAGAAATATCTTTGGATGGATGGATAGATACTAATTTGGGCAGGAAAGCCTTTCTTTCTGCAGGGCTGCCTGTTGTGTTCAGTGACATGATCAGGCACTTGGTGCAAATGTGGGTGCATCTTTGAAGTCTAAAATGGCATCGATCCACACCTCCCTCCCTTGGAGAATGACCTCAAGCAGCTTTCTGACTCTCGAAGGAGAGGTCACTCAGCAAAAGGTTACAATTGTAGCAACT